TAAGTTTAGGAAAAAAAATATTGATTTTTACCAAACAATTATTTGGGATATAAAAACAATAATTATTATAACAATATAATAATAATACGAAAAATAATAAGCATTCCGATTATCTAATATTTAAAAATAATAATCTGAATAAATTATGATAAAGTGTATTATTTTTGCTTATATGGATTGTTAAAAATAAGAAGGATTATTTACATTCAGCTCAAATTGTATATTTATTAGAATAAAGAAATTTATTAAGCTATTTTTTATTATTAATGTATTGAGATGATTAAAATTTATGTAATGATGAATTAGTATAATAAGAATCAGATTTGACTTGTATAATAAAAATTAATTACATTTGACTCTTTTAATAAACAATATATTTTTATAGAGTAAGCTAATTTTTAAATATTAAAGTTCAAAATATATTGTAATTATGATTATAATAAAATTAAGAAACGAATCAACAATTTATAGTGATATACATCTTCTTCAAACCTAATCTATAACAGACTTAAGTTAAATTGTATTATTTAATGAATAAGAAAAAATTATTATTAAAAATTATGAAAAAATGTTACCTTTCTTATTAATTACTAGCCCCACAAGACACGAAAAGATCTTCAAAACTGAAGTTCTCATATTGAAAAACCTTGTTTAGAACAGAGACTTCGTTTTTTTGCAACTTTAATAATTATTATCGATAACTATAAATTTTCTAAATTTACAGAGGTTCTCTATGTCAGCATTAACACACAGATTTTAAATTCTCTCCTTAGGTAGTTAAAAATCAAATTATATTCCAAATAGATATTCTTTCATCTATTCTTAAATGAAAAATTAATGGATAAGGATCTGGGATGGCTAAGGAGAAGAAATTGGGATAAAAAAATTTGCAGAGTGATTACCCAATCATCGGTTCTTTTGAATAATGGAAGATGTCTTTGATAATATAATCTAATAACAAAAATGGTTCAAACAAAATTTTTTAGTATCACTTATTTATATTTTATTTCATACTATAAAAATATTAAAACAAATATAATAAGCGAAGAAAAAGAGTATAAGAGTACAGGAGACTGAAGAGAATTATAAATGATTGGAATAATTTATAATTACAAAATCTCAATCAGCAAACTTTGATAATAATTAGTTCATAATTGAAAAGAAATTAAGTATTAATTAAATGGAATATCATATGAGTTGATGGATTCTTTTTATGAGTTTGAATAGAATTCTAAATTAGAATAAAAATAATTCTCCAATATTATCAGCAATAAATAGGAGGGCTTACTTTATCTAGCATAAATTTAATTAATCTTAAAATTTAAATTCAGTGGAGTTTAATTAATATTTTACTAATAATTAGAATAATAATTAAATATTACACTTGTCCTATTTAATTCTAAGATTAGGGATATCAATTTATTCAAAAAAAGCAATAAATATCATAATCTCCTTCAGTGTTATAAATAAAAAATATATAAATTTCGCATTAATTAAAAGATCAATCGAAAAAATAGTTAAAAAGTCTAAATAATAATCATAATAAGAATTAATTTGATTTCCTATACTTGTTGATGAATATTAATATTGAAATATAAGTTAAATTGTAAAGCTTAAATAAATAATGATGTAAAAGAAGAAATTGCCTTTTGATATTAAAAATATTGATTCTTATCTAAATAAATTAAGATTTAAATATAAAATTAAAAAGTTAACCAAAAAATACTAAAATTACTTAAATTTTCCAATACTACAAAATTCCACAGTAACTCAAACCTTCGTAAATGAACAAATAATAGAGCTGACTAATATACTTTCTAATCTCTTGGCATGCTGAAAGACTTTAGAATACAATAGACATTAAATATTTTTACCGTATATTAAGAAAAGTAAATACAAACCAAAGAGCAAGGAGGAAGCTCAATATCAAAAAAAAATATTTTTAGAAAATTGAATTAATAAGTAGAGATTTGCTTGAAAGTCACTAAATTTTGTTAGATCAAAATATAAAGATTAAGAGAATGTAGATATAAACTAAAAAATAATATGTAAATCGAATGGTAATTTATTGAATACTCTTATAACCACATACAAATAGGGACACTGAGATTAATCACTTTTTGGATGAGAACATTCCTGAGTTAAAATTACCTTCATTGATACAGTCTTAAAGCAGAGAGTTACTGCAGTTTGGAAATCAAAATAATGTAAAAAGCAAAAGGTTTAACAAGTAATTAAATAAATATATAATTAATAAAAATAAAATGATAGAATTTATAAAGAAACTAATTTAGTTAGAAAAAAGTTGATAAAAAATAATCTGGTAAGCACTTATAAATTCGAGTAGCTTTTAATTAAATGAAAATATAAAAGTAAATTCAAATTTTTAGAAGGACTTAATAAAGTTCTTGTATAATTTAAGTTTCGTGTATTAAAAATTAAATTAAATTCAAGGATCATCTGATATCAAATTTAAGACTAAAAGAATATTAAGTTTTAGAACTATTATAAATTCAAATTTTGAAAAATGTATTTTTATTAAGGTTTTCAAATTCTATTTATAAAAATCAATTATAATGTTGAAATAAAAGCAAATACATATATTTAGATAAATAGATAATGTAAAAACCAAGGAATTGTACAATCTTTATTTCATTTATCCATTAAACAAACGCAATTTGAACTGCCATTTTATGTTCTTAAATCATAAATTAAAATAAGATTGGCATATTATTAACTTAGAATAAATATGTCTCACTTTTTCTAAAATTTTATAAAATTTTTTTAATTATATTAGATAGATTTTTATAACTTAAAAATTATTTGTATAATGAAACTAAAGAGAAGGGAACCTTTAGTGACATACCGGTTCCAATATATAAATCTTGAAAATTTGTAGTGAATGCAAATAAGTCTATTGGTTTGGATCCTGTTATCAATCAATGATTAATAACTTAATTATTATGAAAGAATGGCTAAATGGAGTTTGCATCATATTACTATCGAATTAATTTATGAAATTAAAAGCTTTCGACATAGGAAGATATTAGTTTTTAACGGAACAACATAATTATATAACCGATTTAATGATAAATAATTTAGAGTAATAAATCTTATGATATTGAGAGTGAAATAGAATATTATCATAATGAAAGAGTTATAAAGGCACTTATTGATAATGATATAAAATGGATTATAATAAGTATTTGGAATGCTGGTGAGTAGGGATGTTAAATCAAATTAATGAATATGGAATTTTGACCTTGTTGATAGGAAAGAAGAACTTGCTTATTAGATTTTAGGTTTTTTAAGGGTGTTGAAAAATTAAACTTTTAATTTGGAAAGGATGTTTAATTGTAATAACAAGTTAGAAAAAGACATTGATAGTATAAATAGCCTATCTAATATGAAAAGGGTGAAAGATTACGATTACATTGAAATACTAAGATTCCCAATTATAAGAAGTTTATGGAAAAATGATAGTATAAATTTATTCTCTATTAGTAAGGTATGTTCACCATTTTATTTCTCAAAATATAAGGTATTCAAATTTCTAGTTTTGAGAATAATTAATTTTTTTATCAGTATCTTATTTTTGATATTATTCTTATCCATGATTTTAGAATACCTGTTAACCATAAAAAAATGTGGTCATATAACTTTCAAAAAAATATGTTAAAGTTATTTTATTCTTCCTAAAATATAATCAAAATTTAAAACTTATTATTTATAAGAATTTAATTGTAAAGAGAACTTTAGATAACTTTAATTATATAAATATCTTTGACAGGATTTTAAAAAGAATCATAAGAAGGAGATTTAAAGATTTCATTATGAACAATAAGTTAATAGTTTTGATATTACTTCGAATAATTAATATATCCGAACAGACCTCATTTATAATAAATTCTTAAAATTCTAAAGTAACACAATATTTTTAATTAAATTAGATATCTTTATGTATAAAATAATTACTATATCTCAAAATTCATAATTAACTTTACTATCACTTTGAGAATCATATGCTTTTTTTTATAATTTCTCTATGACTAACTTCCAAATTAGCCTAATTACGCCTTTCTTCTCTAAATTCACAATCTAAGTCTTTCATCAAGTATGCCCACTAAAAAGCTCCTTTAGCATCAATTTATTCTCAATTTTTTTCTAATTGCTTAAATCTACTAAAAATTGAAGTATCATTCGAGAAAATTTTATTTCATTTAAGGAAACTTAAATAATACTTAATAATTAAATAAGAGCATTGAAAACCCTTGGGCTTAGTAATTGAAATATTTTAAATTTTAATTGTCGAATCGATGGTGCCAAAAATGTTTTTCTTCATGTTATCGAGAGAAAAAGTTGTTAAAAGAATATTAGTCTTGCTAGAGCTTCATTTCCTTTTGAGTAAGATATTTTATGAATTCAGTTGTATTTTACAATGTAATCATTTATTGAACCCATTCTTCCCTTAAAAAGGGATAAAATAATGCAAATTACAATAAGGAATCATATTTTATCAAAGTTTTGTATTTAAATGTTGTTGAATCTTTTTAATCCAGTGTTTAAACTAAATCATCAAAAATTATGATACTATTTAAAGAACTAGAAGATATGAAGAGTAAAAACCATTTTTTATTTACTTTATTTTCATAATCAACATTTAATCTGTAAATTAATAAAGAAAAAAATCCCTATCCAATCCCTAAACTTATTGAAATTTTTTCCAGATATTAATCTAATCGATCCATCATTTCTACCTATTTTCTAATTTAATCTAATCTCTGATCGAATAGATGATAGGGGATTTTGATATAGTTCAATAAACCATGCTATATTCTATTTGGACATTAATGGATTAAAAAATTAGTAGAGATCTTAAAATTAAAAATATATGTTAAATTTTGTAGTAATTTGAAAGGATTATCCTAATTAAGAGATGAGTGTTATTTGGCATCAAAATATTATACTAATCATCTGTGTTCAAATTAATTGATGTAAATTGATTATAATTAACAAAAATTGGTCAGATTAGATCTATTTCTAAAAATCAATTATGGAATTGAATAATTAAGATGCCTAGATATCAAATAAGTATATAGTGAAACCTATTTAAGTTAAAATTGGGAACAATTCTTTGGCTGAAGCTTCAATTAGTGAATATATAGAGGATTGTTCAGCACTGATTTAAATCATTTATATTATAGCCATCTCTGTATCAGCAGATCTTATTTTTAGTCTTAAGGAATTTAATGATACAAAAAGATAAGCTATCATTATTCCTTATTGATGCCAATTAAATTAAGAAATTGATAATGAATTATTAACTTATTTAATTAAATATATATTTATACTTATATTGAATTTATTGATAAAGAATTAATTATGAGAAATCTTTTAATAAATTAAGATGCTAATAATTCTGCTACCATAAGTGAACCTATTCTGAACCAGGTTTGTTAATTATCATATTTGATAATATGGGTGTTAAATGATGATTTTTATTAATTTAAATGATATTATAAATAATAATATTCTAAAACTTAAATGAAAAAAGAAAATGGCCAAGATGAACAATTATAATACATATTACTTAATTTCTGGAGGTAATTGCAGGAGAAAAAATTAATAATTATTTGAATACAAAAAAAAGTTCAACCTACAATCAATATGGAAAAAAATGAGGAACAGTTGAATTTAAGTAGAGTGGTATGGAATTGAAAAAGTAAATCACAAAACCTATCTAATTTAAGCTAATAAAATCTCAAAAATTCATTCCTCCTCTTACTTTTGGATCAATCCTTCGTTTTCTTGTTGATGGAATTTCTAATCTCCTCCTACTTTCGAACCTACTATCATTTATTATCAGACCAATCTACTTTATTTATAAAGGATGATCTTATAAGATGGATAGCTTCCATGTTTCTCTAATAATTCTACAGTCTTTCCCTTAAATATATATGAAAACAGTAGTTCCTCATTCTCATATTTTCCTATCTACATGTCTTTTGATATTTAAATTATCCTATAGACGCAGTTTAAATGAGATTTGACATAATTCTTGTACTTTTGTTTAATAGTTTTATATATGGAACTCTATTAAAAACACCACTAATCAATAAATTTCTACTTTCTTTTAATTTTTAATCTAGATTATTCAGCTATTAATCTTAACTAATTGATCTATTTCCAAACTCTGTTTTCCACTTATTTCTAGTAAATAAATAAAAATAAGGAAGTTAAATTTTGCATAACAGGTTAAAAACTAAAGCCAGATATAACAAAAGATTTTATGATAGAAAAATAACTACATAGTTTATTTTAGTTTCTAATTCCTTTTTCTTTCATTATAATTTTTTATATATCTCCCTCTCCTTTTTTGTGGTAATGCTCTAATTGCTGTTAGAATCGGCCCATTTTTTTAATACACTTTCCTTGAATACTTTAAAATTCTGAATGATGTTTTTAATAATAAATTATGATCCCTAACAACTTTATTGATGTCACCGGTAATATCAACTGTATTGAAAAGTCCAAGACATAATCTATGGAAGTTGGCTATTTTAAAATTGTTAAGTTTTAAATTAAGCTAAAATCTCTTTGTAACACTTATCAGTTTTTTCTATTGATGATCTAGTCTTAACATCCCATAAACGTATAGAGTTATCTTCACTACCAGATGCTAAAGTATTTAAGTCAGGAGAGAAACAGAATGACCAGACCTGACTAGTATGACCATCTAATATATTTTTTTATTATCCTGTCATCTGGAAGGTCTAGAATTTTTTTACATTAAGTTCAACTAAACTGAAAGGATAAAGAAACAAATAATTATTTTTTTTTAAATAGAAAATAAAAGAAGGAAATAATAAATTAGAACCTCTAGAATATAGATATAAGTAATAGGTATCAATTCATTCCTAAATTAATAATAATAAAACATATAACACTCAGTACTTCAAGACTCTTATTAATACTCTCATGATGATATCCAACATTATACAGGAAGGTCTATAGATCTGATTGAAAATAAACAATAGTAATAATGTATTATTTGAAAATACATATCAACATTTAGAATAAAAAAATGGCAAATCCAAATCTTCGTGTTTTTGGTTTCCATTAAATGATATTTGAAAGGCGTAATAATCCAAGAATAATTTATTTTAAGTTTTAAAAATGTATTGTATAGATTGGATGTAGGAAAAAAATCGTAAATAGTAAATTAGCATCTTTATATTAATTTAAATTTACTAAGAGAAGAATAGCATAACTGAAAAATTTGTTTATTTGAAAATAAAAATTAACAAGAATAATATTATAATTAATTTTTTGTAACTTTCTGGAATAAATAGTTCCAATAAAACTTTTCTTTTCCTCTAATTTAAATGATAAAAAATAATTTATAAGAACTCACTAACTTAAAATCTAGAGTCCATTATGATTCCTAATAAATGGGCTTCTTTTCCATTTATAAATTCTCATAAGATAATGAAACAAGATCTTCAAATTAATTAAGAGGAGGGGGATTTTGCAATTCAAAGATCCAAGATTCAACAATTATAGATGCCAAAACATTAGAAAAGATAAAAATACCATTATATTTTTTTCGTAATCTAACTCATCATTCCTTGAATATTACAGATTTTAGATCATCTAGCCCAGACATAAATAAAACTATAAATTCAATCTAATGGTTTCATGACAATCAATAGCATTTTAGCTCTATTTGTTTCGATGATGAAACTCTTAAATGTTCTTATAATTAGATTGAATACATAATTGAATCCTTTTTAAAAGTCATTCCTCTTTATGTCAAAGAATCTGGAGCTATCGTATTGTCTTTATTACATATAGTAAACGATTTATTTAGAATGCTTTTCACATATTAGATTAAAAATACCGATCATTAAATACATATAGATAAAAAGAATAATTTTCAATCTTATATAAGTGAGATAAAATAAGAAATAGAGCAATAGAACGAAAGCTTCTGGAAAACTGGTGTTGAATTTGAATTACAGATGATAAGCACAGTTATAACTCACTTAAGAACTAATTCAGAAAAGGGTAAAGAGATAGCTATAAAAGTCTTAATTTAATTAATAACTTCTTTTGGGACAATGAAATTAAGTGATGAGTTATTATCAGCTATAAAAGATGCAGGCCTATTTCTTTTAGAAATACTTTATGATAACATAGAAAATCCCTTAGAAAAATATTAAATCTATTATTATTTTGAAAACTTAAGATGGAAAATTATATAAT